AAGATGGAGAGTAATTAGGTGAATATAGAGAGTAATTAGGTGAAGATGAAGAGTAATTAGGTGAAGATGGAGAGTAATTAGGTGAATATAGAGAGTAATTAGGTGAGGATGGAGAGTAATTAGGTGAGTAATTAGGTGAGGATGGAGAGTAATTAGGAGAGTAATAAGGTGAAGATGGAGAGTAATTGGGTGTGTAATTAAGTGAAGATGGAGAGTAATTAGGTGTGTAATTAGGTGAATATGGAGAGTAACCAGGTGAAGCTGGAGAGTAATTAGGTGAATCAGGAGTGTAATTAGGTGAAGCTGGAGGATAATTAGGTGAAGCTGGAGGATAATTAGGTGAATCTGGAGAGTAATTGGGTGAATCTGGAACGTAATTAGGTGAATCTGGAACGTAATTAGGCGAAGCTGGAACGTAATTGGGTGAAGCTGGAGAGTAATTGGGTGAAGCTGGAGTGTGCGACACTTTCACTTTCATTACTTCTCCTTCTTTAAGACGGAATTCATTAAAACAAATATTTAACAAAGTCAACGTAGTATTTTTGCCAAGTAATTCCGCTAAAATCTTTCCTACTTCATAATCAAGATCATTGTAACTAAGATCTAATGAAGTTAATGTTGTATTTTTGCAAAGAGCTTCTGCGAATGCTTTTCCTCCTTCAAATCCGAGATAATTATAATAAAGATTTAATGAAGTTAAAGTGGTATTTTTGCAAAGTGCCTCCGCTAATTCTTTTCCACCTTCAGGACCAATTCGATTTTCAGAAAGATCTAAAGTAGTCAGATAAGAATTCGCACAAAGTGCTTCTGCTATTGCTTTTCCTCCTTCAGGTCCAATATGATTATTTCTAAGGTCTAAAGAATTTAGAGTGGTGTTTGCGTAAAGAATCTTTGCAAGTGTTTTCGCATCATCAGATCCAAGACTACTTCCATAAATCCTTAAGGAGGTAAGTGTAGTATTTTTACAAAGAACTTCTACAAACTTTGCTTGATGATAAATAATCCCTTCAAAATGTAAGTATCTAAGATTGCTAGCTGTACGTAGAAGAAGTGCAACTAAAGAAGATTTTATTGCACTTATAGGCTCACATAATCTATTGGAACGTTTGTCTTCAAGCCAATTAAGAACACCATAGATCAAATCAGAATTAATAGATTGAATATATCTTGTGTATTCAAATAATGGTACTTGATCTTCAGGAAGAGTTACATTAAAAGGTATCAACTGAACTTGTTCTTCGGCATTTAATAGTAAAAGACATGTTCTTACAAATCTTCCATCTAAGACGTTTGGTTCATGCCATAATAGTGGTACGACGACTCTACACCATTGACGGCTTACAAAAAGGCACGGAAAAAAGTCATGCTGCCAGGAGTTATTATAAGATGACTTGAAGTTTTTAAATATTTCTAAAAGACATTCGTTCGGTAATGTTATCATTTTTAAAAAGATCTACTTTTGTTTTTGATCGAAATACAGAAATACAGTATATCGATATTGTTGCATAAAATGCTGTGAAATGTTACATCTTTTATTTGTAAATCAACACTGATCGACATGGATTGACTAATTAATTACGTATTTTACTGTATTATAAGATTCTGATAAAACGTGATAATCATGCTTTTTTTTAAAAAAACGTCCATAACTCAAATTTCTTCTATGTGGCAACCTTCTGCGCATTAATAAAAAAAACTCCTTGCAAATTTTTGTGTAAGGTAGTCTGTTACGAACATGAACCTAACCCTAATATGATGTTTTATGACTTTAAAAAATAGCGCATATTCGTTGTTTTGATGTTATCTGATTGGACAATCCATGTCATACTTCATAGGATGTAAATCAATTACTCGGGTAACTTATTTATACACTTTAGAGTACTTTTTAAGAACGTGATGTTTCACTAATAAAAAATCACCGTAAAAGTTATTCTTAGTTTTAAACGAGCGTTAATATTCACTATACAAAAGAATCTAAAAAGAATCTGCCTCCTCATCGACTTTACTTAGAAGAAAAAATATATGACCGTTTATTGAACAATACCGTAAAGTAAAGGTAACTGGAAATATTTTCGTCTAAGACTACTTTACCATGTTAGATTTAAATAAACATTTATTGTAACTGTTTAATTTGAACAGGTACAAGCTCTTTCGTGACAAAAGATCCGGGTTTAATATTTAATTTGGTTGATTCTTGTAGTGCGTTTGGGTTTGTTAACCGTAAATTAAAGTGTTGTCTTATATCTTGTAGATTCTTTAATGGGATCGGTTTATTAGGAATAAAATATCACATTTATCCCACTTTACGCGTATTTATTTATTTTCTAACTAGTTGTAATAAATTCTTTTGCATCTATTTATTATTTTGTAAGCTTTTATATATAGAGCTTGGATCCGGTCATCCATTTTCATGGATATCTGATAGATTTTATTATTAAATTTGCATCCTATGGATAACCGGATCCAAGCTCTACTTTTATATTTTGTTTTCTAATAATATTAAAACGATAAAAATTATATAATTTAGTTGATTAATTATCATGGGTAATCTACAAAAATTAATTAATCATATGAATGTCTTCCTATGAGGTGTCACAACAATATCAGAGCAGCAAAACATACATTTTTGATACTTCTGCATCTATTTTTTTGATAGATTCAGATATACTTTAAAAATTTATATATTTTTTTGATACTCCTGTACTTAGATATCAACATCAAAAATTTATCTATATGATAATTGATACACAAATAACAATTTGATATAAGTAACATGATCAGAAAAATTTATATTTGATTATCTGTTATTCAAAGAAATTGTTTTAAAATGCTAACATAAGTATTAATTTTAATTTTTTTTGGTATTAAGATGAGGTCTTGCTTGTATTTTTATTAATAGTTTTTAATATAGTAACTACAATGAGTTGTTAACCTTTAAATATATAAAATATAAAAGTAAAAATTACATATAAGAATAAAAGTTCTTTGTGATCTAAACTTACTAGAGTAATCAAAAACTCACCTAAATTGTAATAAATAAAATATAATTAGAAGATATACTATATTTAATTTATAAAATTTGCAATTAGCTTGTCCAAGTGGCAGATATAAATTATTGATATGTACTTGGTTAGATAAATCACATTAGCACAAGTAAGTATAAATATATTTTGAAATTCTATTAGATTATTGTAACTAAGGTTGATTATAAGGTAGAGTAATATTATATTGCTTTATCTAATTAGAAAAACTAATATAATATAGTTTTTATAATTGTTTGTAAATAAGTTTATTAATTTGAACTAGAATTTAATAATAGTTTGAGAGGCTAGTTTGTGTAGGGCTTTTTATAAATGGGTTGTTGTTATATTGATAGTATATCAAAACCCGATAATTATATAAAAAGAGCAATTTCTTTTATTAAGCAAATGTATGAAGTGGCAAATTATTTTCAATAAAGTGATACAAGGCTCGTGTGTACTGTTTTCCTTTTACTAAGAATTTCTTTAATGTCTTTATAGTACTATCGCTACTCCTATGATTACATACTTACCTAATTATTACTATATGTCTGTTCTACAAGTGCATTACTACTCAAGTGTTCTATATGTATAATGTGCACGATAATACATTATGTCAGTATCTTCTACTATTACGCTATATTATCTACTTTCATCCAAAGCTCTATCGGTACTTCGATATTCGTCCTGACTACCCAGTATCGCCATCAAATTTTCACCCCATGTGATCATTGACCAATTAATGATTCTGATTTAGTATAACATAGCACGATCAGGAAAATTCAAAACAAACATCTTTTTTGTCAAAAATCATTTATTTCTCAAGAATTTGCATAAGAAACTACCTTTCGTACACTAACAAAAAGTTTTTCTTACGCGATTTTAGTACATAATTACCTAAATTCTAATGCTAATTTGGGCACTAACCTTAATATAAACGAACTTAAAGAATTTTTTCGGGGTGAAATCTTTGATGGCGATACTGGGGTAGTCTATTCGTCCCAACCCTATCACGTGATCACATGATAGTATAATCGATGCACAAGTCATGTTTCGTGGCTTTTACTTCTGTACTACTAATACTATTACACTCTCCCCCACTAAAACGCGAAACTTCTTTTTCAAAATCACTAACCAGTTTCTTACAATTATTCAAATTTTTTAATAGTTCCCATGTTGCATCATGTAAGGGATAACCTTTCCATTTCACCAGGTACTAGATCTGTTGGTAGTACTTTCTTTTATCCAGGATCACTTCTACTTCGTATTCTTTTTCTACCATTGGGTCTATAATTACAGATGGTGGTAGTGGTATATTTCTATTTTCAAACTTATTTTCTTAATAAGGTTTTAGAAGAGACACATGAAATACTGGATGAATTTTCATTGGCTTTGGTAATTCTAACTCATATACGGTTGGTGCTATTACTTTTGTGACTTTGAACAGTACAATAAACTTAGCTGTAAGTTTCTTCGATATTCTTTTAGAACTTTCAGCAGGTACTATATTTCTTGTGCTTAGTATTACCACATCTCCTGTAGAGAATTCCACGTATCTTCTTTTTTTATTTGCATAGGATGCTTGTGTTTGTTGGGCATTAACTAATGTACCTTTTGCTATTTTCATCATAGTTGTCTAATGATTTATCAATTCTTTAGCAGCTTTGACTTTCATCAGTGTGATATTTCCAACTAACATACTACTAGCTATTGCTGAGTGGCGTCTATTGTCTAATTGAAATGGTGTGAAGCCTGTCAATGCTTGTTGTGTATTATTGTAAACAAATTCAGCTATTACTATTATCTGTTTCCAATTATCTTGCTTATAATTAACATATGCATACAACATTTCTTCAAGAATTTTGTTAGTTCTTTTGGTTTGGCCATCAGTTTGTGGGTGTGCTATTGTAGACATTTTTAACTCAGTTCCTATTAATTTGAAAAGTTCCTTCCAAAAAATGCTGG